TCAGCGGCAATAGACTGTTTCATGCTAGATGCAATCATCAGGCCTGAGAATTGCATCTAGCATGAAACAGCCTGTCACCTCTGAGTGTTGACTTCAATGTTCACACACACATATATATATATATATATATATATATATATATATATATAAATATATATATATAAAATAGTCATCCAATACAAGGCCCAAGAGCCACTTAAGCTAGTGGGTTACTATATGAGGTTGTTGTATGGATGGAGAAGGGGGACATTGACAATATTGAGTTGGCTAACCAGATAAGTCACTTGATCATTTAATTTATTGAATATTTTAACTCTAGTTATCAATTGAGCACTTTTTGGCAGAAGTTTCGCTAAAATTAAAAAAACACATAAAATCCTTATAATTTTTACATATTTTCTCACTTGTATTATTACTATTATTAATATCTATATATAAAGATATTATCAAGCCGTCTGCATGACACTATTTTGAAAAAATCTTATTGTGATAAAATATATTTGATAAAAATGTCTGAAATGACTCTTTTCTTTTTTTTTTATCCCATGACCCGTAGGATCGTAGGGGCACCATTTGTGCTGCAGCCACAGTAGAAGTGGTGTTTCTTGGGCAAGATAGCCTGATGGAGACCAACCCTCTTCAAGTTAATTTTGAATTCAGAGTTTTTCCTTCTCCTAGACCAGTTGCCATCCAAGGCTATAGAACCCAGTCTTTTCTGCTATTTACCCATAACTGGGGGGAAAAAAGAAGAGGATTCATACTTTGCCCAAGGATATTAGAATGTAAGTGAATGTAATGGATCTGATGGAAATTTGAACTTGGCTCTCTGATTCCTCAACCTGAGTCACTATCCATTACTCCACCATGCCTCCCCTGAAATGACTGTAAAATATATAAATGCCATTTTTTTTTTTAAGGTGGGGCTTTATGTATATTACATTAAAAATTAAAGAAAGCAATAAAATTTAAAAATGAAAAAATATAAAGTTTATAAAACATTTTTTTTTAAACTAAATACGAGATATTTTCCTTTCCTAATTGCAAAATATAAAATCAGTCTTAAAAAGATCCAAATGGTTAACAGAAAACATAGTGTACCTAGGACAATGGTACTTGAGTCCCTTTCAAATTACTGCCTTTGGAACTTCACACATTTATCCAAATATCACTTCCAGTTTTCAAAACAGCTGCCAAAGTCCTCTTTTTGGGGTCACCATCAGTTGCCTCAACACATTCTCCTTAATCTCAGTCACAGTCTGAAATCTCTGTCCTTTAAATAGCAAATTTAGTTTTGGGAAAAGCCAGAAGTTGCATCTAGATTGTTGGGAATGGGAGTGAGGATTGACAAGAAACCCTGCCCAAAAATGCAAGATGGTCAAACATTACACAAGCTCACTCAATGGCAACTTTCATCCAACTGAATAAACTCACACAAGAATATATTTGTTCCCATACATGCAATAATATCCATTTTGATCAATAGCCAAATTACATCAAGACCTCACAACCAGTTCTCAACATATTCAAAACAGATATTTTACAGACAGACCTGGTATAATCACTAAATGGGATGAGCATAAGGTGCATTCCAAAAGTTTATATGTATCAACTTGGATGAACATCGAGATACTTAACAAATCATATTCCATTAGTAAGGAGGAAGTTCCACCCAGACAGCTTCTTCCCAAGAACCACTACTTTGTGGAACAGACACTCAAGAGGATACTTTCCTGACCAATACAATCTTAACCTCTTCAAGTTTAGGATTAATCACTATCTTTCCTATATATCCTCAAAAACTGCACTTCTTACCTCTTACTGCTCATACAACAACCTATGTCAATAATCCTTCAACTTGAGAGGCTCTTAAGGCCTTGTATAGGGTGAAAAAATAAAACAAAAAATCTGATGTATTTTTTATTCTTACTGGTCAGATACAAATGAACTTTGCTCAAATTTGTCATGTAAGGAGAACTGAAGTCATGAGGTGATAATAATATGAAAATTTAATGTTTATTATTTTTATGTCATTTATTATATAATTGCTGTATATATTTTTTAATGTTACTATTACAAAAGGAAGAAAAATAAATTTAAAAATAAAGATCTGACCTATAAAAAAATATTAGTAAATGAAGCAATGCTTACCTCAGCAAATATTTCAAATTATATATATATATATATATATATATATATATATTTTTTCTTTCTTTTCTTTCCTATTTTTCCTGACAGACAAGCATTTACACACTTGTCTTCTTTTGTGATTGTTATTATTTTTCTTGAAAAACAAATAACAAATGTTACTTTTATGGTTAAAAAAAAATAATGATTTTCAGTTGATATTGAATCTTTGTTTTATTTTTACTTTTCTTCCTTCTGATTAATTTTTTAAATTGGGTTTTTAATGCATGCATGAAAATGTAAATGACTTACTGAAATTTTAAAAAAATAAAAAAAAATGACAAAAAATGTGACTAATTTCTTTAGAAATGTTTTTTTTATTTTATTTATGATGAACAAACTGGTTTTACTCTATCTTATTGCTACATTTCAGATAAAGAATTATCAATGCAGTTGTTGCCTTATTACAAGTTTTACTAGGATGTGCAGGCGGTGTAATGATTAGTGGCTTGTAATGAGAAATCAATAAACCAAGTTTGAATTTTGGTTGAGTTTGTCACATTCACTTTTGCACAAATCTCCTTGGGAAAGGCATGAATCCATCTCCCTCTCCCCTAGCTATGGGTTAATAGCAGAGCAAATAAAGCTTTCTAGCCTTGTTTAGCAACCAGTCTAAGAGAAGTTTAACTCTGAATTCAAAATTGCATGTAGAAAAGTATTCACTATGCAACCAACAAAAGGATCATGCAGTTCACAATAACTCTATGATCTTGACTGCAGTCGATGTGATAGCTATGTTAAATTGATAGCTATAGAAAATGGACAAGTTTTAATGGATAATGTTGAACTGGTGCCTATAGATAATAGACAAGCTTAACTTTATTATTTGTTTGTTTTTTTCAACTACAGAATCAAAGAGCACAAAACCCAAAATAAATAGTTCCCAGAAAGTCATTAATTTGAATTTCAGGAGACTTATCTTATATGGAAGTAATTTTTTGTCCACTTTAACCAATGAAGCCTGGATGACTTTGGTTCAACTAATTGAAGAACATACCAACCTAGAGTATAGATAAAAAGTAACAATGATAAGAGGGATCAAAATTACTACTACTATCATTATTTGCTGCTGTAGTAATAATAATAACTAGCAAGGTCTATTTATTATAATAATTATAAGACAAGCAAAACCTGTGTAAATTACATGGATTTACTAATAATTTCTTTAATGCTGCACTGTAGTTTTCAACCCATGACTATTCTCAAATAGTTATAAGAAAAGTGACAGTCTCTCATAAAAATACTGAAATGTGGTATGACACACATCTTCATTAATAATCTGAAATCATTTTCCATAAAATGGAATGGAATAAATATAAATTATATACATTCTCCCCCACATGAAAGGTAATATTAGAATTACTTGTCTTAATTTTATCTGATCAGGCAGGGGTCATGTAAACCAGGAGATGTATGTTATGTATGCATTAGAGAGAAACAGCAATAAAAATGATTTTTTTTTTTTTTCGTGAAGCATCTCAATTTCTTCCAAAGAGTGTTGCATTATTAATGTTCTTGTAAATTGAGTGAGGTCAAAGAAACAATTAAATTATATCCATTTATAAATGATAATAGAAACATGAGATGCAATCAAGTTGCTCACAAATATATATATATTCTAATATTCTCACATAGCATAAACATATGTACACATGCTAAGATCACACTAGAACACTGTCCTGGTTATGATGATGAACTACATCTGGCAGCAAGGCCTCTGATTGGGAGGTTTTTGAGGAACCACCTCCAGGTCAACTCTGATCCAGAGTGGTAGCACCTGTTAGGGTCCCAACTATAGTAAACCCCCGAACTGGTGTCAAAATACATTTTTATAGTGAAAATACCAGCAATATATTTTCATAGTAAAAAAAAAAAAATTATCAGCAATACATTGGTGAAATAAAAAAAATATTAAAGCTACAAAAATTAAATTTAGGCATTAGATGACCCATAATGAATTGATATGCCATTAAACAAACATTAGAACCTAAGCAAAAGAATGGAATTCTTAATAGGTTTGTAAATATTTAAAGAGAAACAATAGTATGCACCTCCACCTGTCTACAGCACTAAATATACTTGTCTGCTTGGTCAAGGCACTCAATATACATTAGCTCTTGGTAGCAGTTTTCACCTCTTCTTGTTAAATACCAAATGAAGAGTATATATTTTAGACACTGCATATCTTTTCTCTGTTTGAGATCTCTATCTGTTGCTGGACCCCAGACAAAGTTGTTTAGTGTTGATTCATTAAGTACCCACTGAAATGTACCTCTTGGAGCACTGTTGTATAATTTAGCAAGCTGTGATTTTTGGTATCCAGGAAGCTAACTCAAAGGGCAAATAGATTATAAGCAGACAAGCAAAATAAATGCTGGTGTAACAATCACCAACAATTCAATAATATAGACTCACTCTTGGTTGAATTTTCCACTTATATCTAGAGGTATCGAGAAAGGAATAATTGCCATATTAGACAAATGTGAGTTGGTATTTCTTTCACCTTGAGAAGAGAAGAAAAAGATAGAGTGATGTAGTGAACAACTGCAGAGGGCAAAGAGGCCCAGGGTTGCAAGTATCTTTTGCAAAGCTAGAATAAAATCAAGAATAAATTAACTTACCTCCAGTGCAAGCAAAGATTCAAACATGCCTTGTAGTGTAAACTGTCCAATGAAGAAAGTAATGGTGACTTTGCAGGTCACATATTTAAAATAGTTAGATCTCGGAGTACAATACTCTTTCACAAGATTATCTTTGTGCATATGTAAATTTTGACTGTCAATGGTAGATGAAAATGGAAAGAATGAGGCGACAAGTTAGTGAGGAAAAAGACAGTTGACTGCAGCGTTGAATTGGCCACAAGAGTCACAGACGAGAGAAAGAAGAAACTGATTGCAGGCATTGATTGCTACAATAAATTTAAAGCTTTTTTTTTTGCTACAAGTGACAAAGCTCTGTTGTAGTGAGAAATTACACAAACTTTGGGCCAACTCACTGTGAAATCCCTGCATGGTCTTCTGGCCAACTCTGTATGTATTCCCAGTGGATACTCTGTGTGACAGCATGATTTGTTTTATACACAGTTTGGCTCTGTGGATGGTATTGATGGATATTATCCCTAAACAAAGAATTTCCTATTAGCATTGCATGCAACCCATGCTTCTAAAATACTCAATAGACATTTTATTACAATTCCAATGCAAGTCTGTTTGATAGAATTCTAAATAAACAATTCCTAATTTTGTTTGGATTTTGCAGAATTTTAACACATTAATCTTGTCACCGCAACTTCCTCAGGTATAAGAGGCGGATCAGCGAAAATTCAGTATTGAATTTACTAAATCTTACTAGGTTTATTTTGGGTTCAAATCCCACCAATGTCATTCTCCAAAGTATTTGATAGTTTCTATTTTTAAAACAACCTTTTTTTTTCATTAGATTCCAATCTGATTAACTAGTCTGCTATAATTTTTTCCATTGGCATTTTTATTTTCTTACCTAGTATTCCAGGCTCTCTCAATATCTCAAGTCACAAGACAATGTTTCATGCACTATTGACTTCATCAGGATCACTGTTCTGTTACAATGGTAGAAGTTACTACACCAATAGTGTAAACTCAGGTACTTTTCCAAAAAGTAAAACATTCCTGTAAGTTAGGCAGCGATACCTTTCTATTTTGGCAGTAATTTAATAGTTCTTTCATTTTTTGCAATAATATTCATCCTGTCCAAGGCCCAAGAGCCACTTGAAGTAAAAGGTTACAGAGGAAGAGGTACAGTTTATAGGAATATTTGGGGAAGAGAACAGTTAACACTAGACTTGAAGAGGTTAAGATTGTAGTGATTGAGAAGCATCCACTTGGGAGGCAGTTCCACAAATGGAATTTACATGTCACCAATGGAATGTGAAAGGAATGAGTATTGTTCACTACAATGTGTGTGGCATAACAGGTCTTAGCTATGGAGGTTAGGACTGGTGGAACTAAGGAGTGGAGTTTGTCTAAACACTTTCCATGGAAATACCAATAGAGCTTGCAACATTTCATCTGTAAGAATGAGGTTTGTAGGGTGGAAAATAATTCATCACCCACAAGGACGTGGAGACACTCTTAGTATCTGTCAAGACTGAAAAGTAAAGATTCGGCAGCTTCTGTTCATATATGGCAGAAGTAGTCATTTTTTGACCTGATCTGGCTCTTGTAAAGGTAGAAGATAACAGGAGTCAGGTACATACTGAAACAATACAAGAAACCAACCACTTTTCCAGGTTTGGGTTGATTTTAAGTCCCAACAGAAACTCAAGGTAATAGGCCTCCTTTAAAGAACACCTGTTCATCATAATAGCAAAAATTCAGAATCCACTTGGTGATGATGGAATGTTTGGCTTTCAAGCCATTGAATGTGACCAATCACTTTTTCCCCTTACTGAGCTGTTAGAGCTAGGTCAGAGGAAAGATCAGCTGCCAATCTCTGGTCATCTAGAGTCTTTGAGGTGTACCTGTATATTGTTGTAACATCAGCATAGATTTTCACAAACAATCATACTATACTCTTACATCGCTTGGACCTCAGGAGACTGGCAGTTAACAATTAACTTAGTTCTTTTGTGAATCTAAGTGCTCCACAGTATTGGCAAATGACATTCATCTTACCAGAATGGTATATTATAAGCTGAACTCCAAAAAGAAATGAACTCTGTGTCTCATGTTCTGAAGATAATCAAGCCTCCTTCATCATTCATAGCATTTCTCCATTCATGTACTCTGTTTTCCTATGTTCTGAAAATAATCCTTTCTTTCTCGTTCATACCATTTATCCTCCCATGATATTTTTCTCCTGTTCTGAAGATAATCTTGTCTTCCGCATTCAAAGCATCTCTCTTTTCTTGCATTCTTTCTCTATTAAGGTTATGGGTTGTTTGTTGCTTTTCTACCTGCAAAAGCTCATGCTGTCTTCTCTGCTGGTCTTCATTGATTTATATATTGCTGGCATTTCATTTCATTGTATTCAGAATAATGGCTTTACTGAATACACAATGTGAAAAGACATTATAAGTTCAGACTACATTTATATACTCTAAAAGTGGTTCTTTGTTTGCAATGGAAATTCATTGTAAATTGATCCCCCAAGCTAACATTTACAAAGTTACTTCCCTCAGTCTACAACCAATTTGCAAAGTTAAAAAAAAGATTTTAATTTCAAAAGGAAACTTGTATTTTAAGGGCAAGTTTGTCAACAGATTGTTAGGTTACAAAACATGATTTAACCACTGACTACAAACAACTGCCTTTATCTGATGGCCCAGTTCTAATCCCTAAAAATAATTAATTTCTTCGTGGATATTTTTAGACATATAAATTGCTAAAACTTACCACCAATCTCCTTCATATATAAAACCCATTTACAGCCTCTTTCTCTTTACTTCCCCCTTCTTGCTTTTTCCTTTTTCTTTACTCTCTTCTCCTGTCCCATTTCAATATATCACTTCCGTTAACCGTTTGAATAGGTCATGGTCTGGTCACTCCTCCTCCCCCAACACTAAGTATGATTGAGAGAAATATTAAATTAAACCCTCTCTAAACTCTACCATGTCTCTCTAACCACTCCTTATTACATTCTCTGTTAAATTACACAAACTTACACTACCCATCAATTTTCATTTCATTTTTCGTTTCAGCTTTTGGAAGTGTTATCTGATGATCCGGCATCCTTTAAAAGGACTCTGGTGAAATAAATTATTATAATGGAACCTTAAAGTGGTCTGTTTTTCTTTTATATATATATATATATATATATATATATATATATATATATATAGAGAGAGAGAGAGAGAGAGAGAGACTGTAATAATTGATTGCTTTGTTTTCTACAACTTATCAATCCTTTACAGGTTATTTAAAGTCAGAAAAAATTGTTTTTTATTTTTAAGCATAGGGGGGAGCAGGGGAGATAATAATGATTTACTGATGCAAGTCTTACTTAATTAAGCCATAACTAAATGCCTCTGTCAGCATTGCTGATAACATGAGGCTGAACAAAGTGAAAGCAAGAACTCAACCTTGATTTACTCCACTAAGAAAAGAATGGTCCTGGTTCTCTCTGTTGTCCTGAACTTTGGCTGTTTTACAAAGGTGATGAATCTTCTGAGACATCCATACATTGCTTTAATTATCCAAAGGCCTTCTCTACTTACAGTGTGAAAGTCTTAGTCAGAATGACAATGGTGGAGTACAGGTTGACATTCTCATTCTAACATTTCTCTTGAAGCTGTCTCACAGCAAAAACATGTTAATAATCCTGCATTCCTTCTGGAAGGAGACCTTGCTCAGATTTGGGCAATGAGGTAGGTTAAACAGCACTCTTGCCTGTAGGAAAATTCTACGATGGATGTCACATGTCTGACAGTTTCCTTTGCACTTGTAAAGGTGATTTCTTTGACTTCTAAAGGTAAATGATTGATGCATTTTTGAAAATCTGTTTTATGCTTCCAAATAACTCATAACAGTTCACAGAGTTTCTCAGTAGAAGTTAATCAACCATCTTTGCAGATCTCAGCTGGAATGGAATCCAAGCCAGGTGTTTTGGCACTGGATAGCAGACCTGTTTCTATGCGGTGTAAAAAATACACACTTAAAGACACTTAAAGATATGATATATAAATTTCTATATATCAGGACAATCTTAGGCAACTGAATGACAAAGTGGAAAAATTGTGTGTAACATGTTTCATTGGATTAAATTAATGTTTTTATGGATGGAATTATGTATGTGTTGGAATGGGTGGGAGAGATATGTACAGAGGGGGGAAATGCTGAATTGTAATTTTAAATTTTATATATGTATCAGAGAATATGATATATATTATATTGCTATATGTCAGAACAATGTTAGGTAATTTTTGCCCCTTTGTCATTCAATTACCTCATTTATATATATATATATATATATATATTATATAAAAGTGAACATAGATGCCTGACGATTACATCTAGCATGAAAGGGACTGTCACCTCTAAGTGTTGACTTCTATATTCACTTTTATATTTACACACGCTCTCTGATATTGAGCACTTTATTCCATAAATATAGCACATCTTAAGACTATATTTCTTCATATATATATATATATATATAGTCAATGATGAAATTATTTGTACACCCATCAATTTTGAATATTTTTAATCATTTCTCAGTATATAATGCCTGTATGATGCCAGTTTTTTTTTATATGTTAATAAGCACAATTTTGTTAATTGCTATTGATTCAAAACATCATTTCTCTCACTAAAAAATAAACAATACAAAAAATATTTTTAGGTGGAATATGTAAAAATGAACAATGGAGATAACTTATTTAAAAATATTTTCTCTTGTTTTATTTATAGTTATTTACACAATGTGTTACAAGTCACATTTGTAAACAATCCATCAATGTACTTGTAAAATCCACAATAGCTAAAATTGTATGTCCACTTCCGTTTCTCTCTTTTTAGAGTAACATTGAAGAATGTGGAACAGCCAAATGCTGTATTGCATTCTGAATAGATTCTGAGATTTTGGGTGATAATTCTTTCTTTTGTTTACGTCCAATAAGAAAGTGCATCATAAAGAGACGTAGACCCTCACGGAATTTGTACAAGTTGGTCTGACATGAGACACGTTCAAAAACCTGATCTATGACATGACTTGGAGACTTCTCAAAAATTGTCATCAGGACCTGCTTCAGAAAGCGCACCATTTGCTTGTTTAAAGCACCAAATTCAACAACCTGGAAAGAGAAAGAGAAGTAAACAATCAAAACTACATAAATAAACTTCAAGTTCTATATACATACCAGATGGTTAGGCAACTTGTGATATCATGGGTAGGATTTCTAAAACAAATATAAAAAAAATTCAGAGATTCTGCATGCAAGGATCCATACAATCTTTGTCTGCTGCTAGGGACAGGACAAAATTCATTATTATCAATCATTTGCAGAACGGAAGTTGAACTGCTCTATGTACCAATAAAAATGGTCAAACAAAACATCCATGAGTCACACGTATGTTCTGCTGAAAATAAAAAGCCAAGCTTTGTTTCTAACTTCTTTATGCCTTCCATCAGTATGGCTGATACTAACCCTCTGGGAGAGCAACTCACTGTTCCTCCTTGGTCACATGTGTACGACTGACATGAAGTTGAATGGTTATATGGAAACAATTGCTAATATTATATTGCCAAGTCTGCTACTAGAAAAGCTGGTTCACTGTGCCATGCCAAATATTTTAGACATCTAGTCTGGTGCTTCTGCTATGTACTTAGAGATTCTTGATGAAATCCAAAGTAGCATCTTCAACATTATCAATCTTGACCTGGCATCTCAGTTTCAGTCACTTTCCCACCACCATAATGTAGCTTCCCTGTGCCTTTTCTATAAATATCTACATGGTAATTGTTTGGACCTTTCCTATTTGGTACTGCAACTTCACAAATTTAAGCCAGTACTTGATTGGCAGTTAGGTCTCATAATTTCACTGTTGAAATTGCTAGTTGTAACCAGAAGTTCTATGCTAATAGTTTCTTCTCTCACACTTATTGATTGTGAAACTCACTTCCAGCTTTGCTGTCAACTATCATCTTCAAAAGTTTATATGCAACATCAATCATCATCTTTGTTTGTTTTTTTGTTTTCTTTTACAATAATGTTCACTCTGAATAAGGTAAAAAATCCACTCAAGATACAGGGTTACAGAATAAGGGGTACAGTTTATTGGGATATGTGGGGAAGACAATGGTTAACCCTAGACTTGAACAGGTTAAAATTGCAGTGATCAGGAAGCATCCTCTAGAGGGTCAGTTCCACAAAGTAGCAGCTCATGGGAAGATGGTGCTCAAGTGGAACACCAAGGGAATGTGAAAGGAATGAAGGTGGTTCACTACAATGTGTGGCATAGTGGGACTTAGCTAGAAATGTAAGAACTAGTAGAACTAAGGACTGTAGTTTATCTGAACATTTGCAATGTTTCATCTATGGGAAAGGCAATGTTTCATCTGTATGGTGGAAAATAATCATACTCAAAGATATGGAGACGCTTTTGGAACTGCCCAGTCTTCACTCTCCAGTCTTCCTGCCAATATATGGTAGCAGTACTCCATTTTTAGCCTGATTTGGCTCTTGTAAAAGTAGAGGATAGCAAAAGGAGGAGTCAGGTACTTACTGGAGCGGTATATCACTAGTCTGGTTTGTCTCCATAAATCATGTTCTTTTATTGTCCTCTGTTTCTTTCACTCAACCTTTTGCATCTTAGTGACTTTTATCACCTTGCTTGGAGTGATATATATATATATATATATATATATACACATACATATTGGTAGGACATGCAAATTTTGCTCATGAGATGTATATATAAATTGCTAGGTGTGCATTTGGCATGTTTTGCTACACCTCAGATTTGTGACTGTTCATTTTTCTATACTTAAACATTAACATTCTGCATTAATTGAAGTCATATACAGAGTGATTTTGTCTTCATACAGATCTTAGGAAAAAAATGTTGCAAACAAAACCAAGAGTTGTCTATATTTCTGAGATGAGTATTGTAATTATTTACATTATTTACATTGTTTGGACTGTTGTCCTCAACTTTATTGTCCAATCACCTGAAGAAGGCCAGAGCATACAATGGCTGAAACATGAATATAGCAATAAAGATAAGGACAATAGTCTGAATGATGTAGATAAAACCAAGAGTTGTATGCTACTTTTGCTGATTTGACAAAGGAATGTGACATCACAAGTAGGTCAAAGTCTCTTGAAAATTCCAGGCGACCAGAGTTTCACACTCTGCCTATTCAACTGTCGTTCAGCTTGATCCAAGTCAGATATGACAGCCACTCACTCACAAAATCTATTCTCAATTGCAAACAGAGTAAAGCAGAGTTGTGTGCTGGCTGTCATGGTTTTCACTATTCTTTAGCGTAATGTTGAGATGGGTTACAAAGATGTGTATTCTAGTGTGCCAAATGCAAGTGCTGGCACCATTAAGTTATTTATTTCAGTACCCTCTTCCCTGGCATAGTTCTTCTTCAGTATGGCACACTTATTATTTTCTCCCAAAAAATTCCCAGTGGAACATTTATTTAAACTGGCATGACTATTCCAGATGGTAATTGTATTTCATGCAAAAAAACATATACATATACCAATGGTTCAACCTAAAGTAGTGGTTCTCAACTATTTTTTATCAATGGATCACTTTTACTCCTAATGCATTTTTTTTTTTTTGGTGGATCCCCATGATCATTTGATGAAAAAAAAAGCTTTTTTTTTTACTAATATATGTTTAGGAATTGTATTACTGTCGAGTAATGGATAGCAGCTCAGATTGAGGAATCGGAGAGCTAAGTTCAAATTCTAGTCAAATCCATTACATTTACTTACATGCTAATGCCCTTGGGAAAGGTATGAATCCTCTTCTTCTCCCCCCAACTATGGGTAAATAGCAGGACAGACCAGATTCTATAGCCTTGGATGGCAACTGGTCTACCGCAGAAAGAAATGGCAACCTACTGCGGGAAAAATCTGCCTAATCAGTCATGTATCGAAAGATACATGATCGCTTAAGTGTGTATTACGCATGACACATAACTGACTGACTGAAATGTATATGCTTTATTTCAAACTAAAACTAATTTAATGAAAATAATCTTGTATTTAACAACTAAATTCTATGGAGCATTTATGTACACTAGTAAAATAATTCCTAATAAACCATTTTTAAATGTAGAATAAAAAGGGCATTAACTAACATCACTTGCTCTCATTTTCTACTAAATTTAGAGTTGTATTTCTATTTTTAGTATTTTAATATGCTGCAGATTACTGTAGAAATTCCAAATCTCAGTTGTAACAACCATTTCGAAGTGACCACTAAAATATTACTGTGGCACCCACATTTGCTATTTTTTGTGTAAATCCCAAGTAATGGTTCATAGGGACCCTAGTTGAGAAACTACTAAGATAATAAAGCTAGTCAGAGAATTGGATGAGGTGTGTCTTGTCAGCTCTTCAATAGGTAAGTTTCAGCTTTGTAAAGAAACCGGAACTCTTTGGAATAAAAATAAGTCATCTTCCATCAAACTGCATCTAAACACCCACCTTCATACTCATCAGTCCAAAAAAGTTAGTAGTTCAGGACTCCTCCCTTCCCGAGTAAGTGTCATACTCTCTGGTTGGGCAAAAAGGACGGCAAAGATAAACAAAGCCTTCAGTAGATAAACATATCTTGAACAACAAGAACCTTGAGAAAAAAAACAATTAATTTCAATCCTCATGCTCTCCACCCTTTCTTAAGATGAATGTTGGGTCATCTACCAGTACCATCGAGATTCCATCAAATACTTCTGTCAGCAATGCTGTTTTATCATTCTCAATGTGCACTCAAGTGACTTCAAAACAAATACCAAACATTCTCAAGACAACCGGTGCCACAAGCATTGAAGCTATTCTGCAAAAGGCTCAACACTGAGCAGGCTATGTTGTAAAAATCAAGTTTGTAGGTTCTGCAAGCTGTATTTTTTGCTTTGAGTAGGATCCTTGTCATAGTTTATTGGAGATCCTTTGCTATACAGTTCTTACCTCTTTGGAAATCTCACTTTAGGGATATTGACAAAAAAGATAGTAGAGTGAGATGGTTTCATTGGAGATCTTTATAATGTGTTTATAGGATTTGGGTTTTGGTAGGTGATTTGGGAGGTATTACAATGGGCATTAATTGATGTGTTGGTGATATTTTTTTTATTCATTTTGTTTCACACAAATAGTGGTTTGGGGTCCTTGATGAGTTCAATTTTGTGGGGAATAGAAGTAGACATGATGCTTTATTTCTGGCATTAAAAGGGAGGGTATATATGAGTCTTTTATAGAGATGTATCGATCTCTTTTGGCATTTTGGGAATGTTTAAGCTATGTATGTGTTTGTCTGAAATAGTTTGTTTTGCTTATGTTTATTCTTCTAAGGTCAATGACACCTTGACTTTAGAGATCTGTTTTCCTGAATGCAAAGTGAACTTCTCACTCCAGGCCTTGCTTATATTTAGCATATGGTGGAGGATATGTTTTTGTTTTTATACTTCAGAATGTGTCAAGCCTCAACAATGTCTCGGCTTGCTTCCCCTCCTCTTTTACCGTTTTTGTTGATTTTGTTTTTTTATCGTCTTTTTTTATCAATCTAATGGATATCGTTTATTTTGATTATTTTTGTGATGTCAGCAAACACTCGTTGCCAATTTTATAATGTCAATGAATACTCATCACTTTCGTAATGCTCATTGTAGTAGAGATTTTGTAATCGCAGATATAACTATAGTAACACCACTGAACAAGCTGATGTTAGATGTCTTCGAATATCATTTGCACTAATAATACTTGCTTGATAATACTTGCTCAAATAGTAATCCGTATAATGATCTGAATAGAGAAATAGTATAGTGAATAGAGTAGAAAATAGCGGTCCATATAGTAATAGAGGATAGAATGAAAGTGCAGATCCAAATAGCAATAGAGGATAGGCTAGAAATAACAGTTGTCAGCTACTTCCTACATATATGTGTTTCCTCTATGGTCATGTGGTTTACTTAATTCAATAATGGGACTGCCTGTGTTTGCTCCCTAGCGATCTATGTTCAAATTCAAGTGTTGGCAGCAACACTTTATTCCTATATAACAATTATGAATGGTAATAGAGTCCTCCATCAATTTTAACCCCAGAAGCCTTGGGAATT